TCTGAATAATTTAACAACCAAATATAACATTAATGGGTGTTTGGAACTTCCTTCTTCAGCTATCCGTGTTGTAAGAATGATGGCCACTCCAGTACAAGCATTAGACTGCATAAAGCATGGTACAGTACTGCTCACACTAGTAAATTAAACCAAAGTGTCACTTGATTATACAGAATATTATTTAGAAGGAAAAGATCAAAGTTTGACATAGTTTGGTGATAGTTTGTTTACTTGATGGAGTGTGTGTCAGCATGTGGAGGCAGTGACCTACTTAGCCTCCATGATGGTTGCCATTTCCTGAGTGGAAAATTTGTATTTTGTTGTTGTGATGCCAAACACTCTGATACATGAATTGTAAACTGAAGGTTCGGTACATTGAAGTAAAATGCGTTATACAGTTTACTAACTTCCCACAACCACAAATTTAATGGTGTCTATTTTTAATAGAAGATAAACAAGGCATCGGGCTTGGTAATGGTAGCTAGTGAGAGCCATGATCATCATTAAAACAACCAGGACGAATGTGAGAGAGTAAATAAAACTTGTATATTTACAAGTTTTTATTCTAATGATGTGATGGCACCCTACCACAGAAATATTCTTCGGTACAGTACTGTATACACAAAATTAGTCCCATAGAAAATTATTTGATTTAAATAATCATCAAAATATCTTCAGTGAATCAAATTTGTTGAGGTTAATTGCTGGATTTCCACCACTCACATCATTACTGCACAATGAACCAACAGCAAAGCATCTCAGCTGACCCTCATTAAATGCACATGGAATGGCCACTCTTTTCAGCAAAATATTAATGGCTGTACTGCAATTTATGTAGTTAATGGTAATCCTAATAACTAATAGGATAAAAATAAGATGCTTAGCCAGCATTTATTACCTTACTTTACTTTTATGCTCTTCGTCAATGAATCAGCTCCTTAGCTGCTTGGGCAGTTGGCCATGACTGTTACACACTGTTGGCAAGTACTAGGCAGCCACTAGCTCCTGAATGTATCTGAACCTGCTCCAGAGTTGGTCAAGTCTGGTCTTGAAACAGCTCACACTCACTGCTGTCACAACACTCTGGCAGGTTGTTCTAATGTTCTAAGAGTTCACAATTCTCAATCCGAAAAAGTTTGCCCTCACAGTTTTCTGGAATTGCGGCTTCTTCAACCTTGAGCTGTGACCCCCTATGGGGAGGGCAGCCGCCAGCTCCAGGTAAGAACACTCTACTGAGTAATGCCCTTTGAGGTGTTTATAAACCTCAATTAGGTCACCCCTTGCCTGTCTGTAGTATAAGCTAGCAGTTGCAGGAGCTCTAATCTCTCTGAATAGCTGAGATGCCAAAGTGCAGGCACCAGTCTGGTGGCCCTCCTTTGGATTGTGTGGTGGTCAGTGGCAGCCATATCAGAGTACAGTATACTGTATTGTATAAATTAGATATTATACAAAGGTTAAAATTGACACTTAAAATATGGTTGACATTACAGTAGGAAAAATGAATATATAACAGCTTTTCATTAGGAAAACCTACAACATTTAGTGCAGACCACATTTTAATCCTTCAACATACAGTATTAAGGATATTACTGTATAATAAGTACACTATACGGAGGCCTTAATATAGAGATTTGTGGCTAAAACACAGAATGGATCACCTGAAGTATCTCCATTCCAGCTTATTTCACCTAAAGATTAACCACCTAATGCTAACCTAACCTAACCTAACCTAATGTAACCTACCCTCATTCCTCTAATTAGTTTAAGGGTGGTCAATCTTTAGGTGAAAACAGCTTGGGTGGAGATTCTTCTTGTGTTCCCACGAAACAACTCAATGTATACAAAACCATAAAAAAAAGAAATTTCTTTCTAAGAAACAGGACTTAATACTGGTCACGGTTAATTGATATTCCATTCTTACTTAACACATTTCACACTTCCATCAAACACAATAATGATGCTCAACATTTCTTTTATATAGAACTCACAATGGCTTAATTTAAAGCAATTTTGGGCAAAACTTAATGTAAAGAGAATTACTGTAATTAAAACAATTCAGTAATAAGGGAAAATATACTTCAACAAGCTATTTATCATCTTACAAGAATATTAGTCATGATGGGGATAAACTTATCTGATGTAACTTGAACTCTAAAGAGCAGCATATCCTACACTTGACAGAACTATACTGTACTGTACTGTACTGTACAGACTTAGGTAAAAATGAGTTTAATCTAGACTTAGATATATGTGCATGTAACATAAACATTATGGGTTTGTATTGAGTATTAATGATCGAGTCTTTTATAGAGATGGAAATTAGGCCTATGCTCTGATTTACAGTACAGCACCAGCATATACACCAGTACAGTAAGCATAAAAATGTATATTAATGAAAATATATACAGGTACTGTACTATATGGAGTTCTAGCCCTATATTATAGTGAAATCAGTCTATATCTTTACTAGACCTACAGCCAACTTAGTGTGAATGTCACCTTAACACACTTAACATACATCAGTATCTCGTTTATTCCCATACCCCAAAATCCCACCCACCTGTCACTCAATATCATGCATAAGTTACAGCTGTAATGCTGTAATGTCATCAAGCAGAAGGAAGAAGTCTTGTACACCCAAGTATGAAAACACCTTTTCAGCATTGTTTGCATCAAAAAGGTTTAACATTACCCTAAGATAGGTAAAGAGGACTGAACCTTGAAGTTAAGAAAAGAAAATGATACTGTATGTAGTACTGTTTGAGTACAGTACTCAAAATAAAATCAATGGGTCTCCCACCACCTTTCCATGCTATAGTGGAGATTAAATTCCTATACCTACAGTAGTGTTGTACTGTACAGGAGTACAGGTAAACCTCGATAAACGATGTACCGTTCAGCGATATTTTGCTTTAACGATGGTCACGAATTAAGACCATCTCACTATATGTGATAAAATTTTCTTGCTTTAACTATATCCATTGGAAAATCTCCTTTATCTCCATTGCAAACTATGGGTTATATACAGTACTTAAATTAATTGCTGTATTGCAAGGATTCCAGCAATGCAAATTATATTTTTCTACGTCGTCAGTGACATTTCACACGGAAACAATATTCAACCCTATGCACCACCATAGGGAAGGCATTAATCGCTGCATTTGTCAGCCTCAGCAATATCTACCCGCATGCTGCCACACAGCCAACCTGCGCACCACAGTCCTGCGCTCGGTTCTTTGTTGATTGCACATGTCTGTCATTGCGTAGTTCCAAGATAATCATTCAGTATTGTTGGCGGTATGTACAGTACACTGTACTTATCATCGGTGTTTTTTTTCTAAAAGTGAGAGGATAGCACTAACATTTAGATTGAACTGTATTATGGTGACTGTGAAGTCATTTTTCTGTTTTTTTTTGTGACTGTGAAGTGCATAGCCTATGTTTTCGTGAACATGTGATCAGTGTCAGCCTTCATCATCTTACTTACAGTTAAGTGTTTTCACTCTGTTTTAGTGACTGTGAAGTACAGGTTAATAATACCCGTGTGGGAGTGACGTCTCCACTCCGCCTACAAGAGTCCCCTTAGCCTATAAGGGGACGAGTGATGATGACCAGACTTGTTCTTCATGATGTTGTTTAATTGTTTTCTATTGATTTTATGAGTGTACAAGTTTTTTTGTCAGTGATACAAGTGTGTTTGGGGACTGGCTGGGAATGTATCCCACTGAACGCCATGTTATAATGATCCCGATCTACTATATTTCACAGAGCGTTGGTTTTTTTAGGAACCTAACTCCATTGTTTATCGAGGTTTATCTGTATCCCAAAATAAAGTAAGTAATCTAAATTTTTCAAACACTTGAGCTGTGCTGCTCTAAGAATCTGTTTTGTCTTTCTGTGTTGACAGCCAAGAGCAAGCCTAGAAATATCTCATATACAGTACTGTTCTGTATATGTTGCTACAGCAGTAAACATTGAATAACAAAGTAATAAATAACCTTGGCCTTAAAATTAAAAAACCTGAGGACAATATTCTTAAACAATGCTGGATGTGTACATCACTAAGCTATGGAAAAAAATACCTTGTACAGCTGTGATGTACAGCTGACCCTTTTATCAGCTTGACTTAAATTCTGACACTAACCTTTGACTGTGGCAATAAAAAGCACAGACAAATCTTCTGGGGGTATTGTAATGATGATGCCAACCAAGGTTCACTGATTCATCCAAAACTGTGAGATAGTAAGCTGTGTTGACAAATTATGGGTTAACACACTTACCTACTATCACAGCCACCTACAGATGGTCAGGCACACACATGCACGCAAGCACACATACACACACACACACAAAAAAATAAAATATAAATAAATAAATATGGGTGATGACAATATCCCTTGTCCATGATGGTACAGCTGACTCACAAGTGAAGAATTTATCAAGAAGCTTAAGTAATAAATTTTCAATATTTCTCTTTGTCTATGTATCATATTTAAGAAACAAAAACATGTAATGCAAATTGCAATTACTGTACTGTATACAGTATCACTACCATGTGGTTAATTAACATTTAATAATTTCAAGTCTAAGATATACTGTACCATAGTTCCTTTCACTTGAGAGAAGACTAATATAGTTCATGCACTTAAAATTAATCACAATGTGTTATTAGTTACCATAATTTCTCTGTAGCAGTTACAACACCTGGAAGTCAATTTCAGGATGATTAGTTTTGGAGAAATCCTATTACCAGCACAGTACACAGCTACAGTAAGTGTGTATAAACAGTAAGTAACAAAAACTTGACACTTGGTCATACACAATTTTATAAGTACTGTAACTACCATCCACATGCATAAACACATGTATGTGTACATGTTTATACATGAAAGATCTCTTAAGCTCACCACAGCTGACCATTGACAAATCATCTGGAAAAAGAAACATTAAATGCAAGGTAATTTATCTAGAATGTAGGCAACATGTACAGGAATACTTACCACAGTTAATGCCAATGACCAATCTACCTAGGATGAGCATTTCATATGAGTAGGACATCTGTGAGAAGCCCATGAGACAGGCACCGCCAACTCCCAGGAGGTTGTTTAAAAGTAACCCCTTCTTTCTGCAATGCCAAATTATGGTCAGTACTATGTAAATCACCTTGCTTATTACCCAACACACATATGCACGATTACTGAAGTGCATACTCCTTTTATAATATAATTTCACTAATTACAATAAACATATATCATGGATGTAATACTTTTTTCCACTTATTATTTTGATAACTTTCAGTAAATTCACTTATAATTAACATTTACCCATAAATTTTCAAGTACAGCACGTATATCAATAAATTTTAGTTCCAAAAGTAACTTCGTATCCAGTATTAATTTTTTGGCCCTAAAATATCTTACCTTCCAAACTTATTTCCTACAGATCCACCGCAGATGCCACCAATCATTCCGCCAATAGCAAATATAGACACAGCAATCGACCATAGTAAGTCCTGCTTGCTGCCTTCTATATTTTTATTGAAGCGTTCCTTCCAGCAGTCGCCAATGAAGTTCTCAATCACAGACTGAGGAGCATTGATGACGCCCGTGTTGTAGCCGAACTGGAACATGCCCAGCACGGCCGCGAAGATGGCGTAGCACAAGAAGCAGGTTAAACCCTGAAAGAAAACACCATGTTCACTGTTAACGGAGAGCATCAGTGTAATACACATACTATCATAACACCAACATGTTCACTGTTAGCGGATAGCATCAGCGCAATACACGGACTATCCCTTCAAGCGTTAACTTTGACACTGTAAGCCTCACCCAATGAATTCAGAAGTACCTTTTGTAGCTCTCAATCCGTGTAAAACAGCTCAAAAGTTGGACAACAGTAACAAGTAATTTACCTGTCATTTTAAAAGGCTGCTTTTTTTGGTTTCGTTATCATGCTGATTATCCTTAATTTGTAATGACAGTATGAAACACACTACATCACTTGCTACTACTCTACCGTACTCTACTTGAACTCTTGTGCTTACAGACCTGGCCACTGGTACCTGAAGACCAGACATTGACAGAGTGGATCACACAAGAGGCTGGCTGCCAAGTGAGTGAAACATGATTTTATAACTAAAAGCCTTCAATGTTGCACTGCTGACCAATCATATCAATAGAATATATAAAATATAAAGTTTCTAGGCAGCTGTCCTAAATATGAGCAGTTGAAGGGGCCAGTGAGGGCAGGACGGAGTTAGAGGAGAGACAGTAGGGTTGTGTTGTCACTAGGGATCACTCCCACTCTCACACAGTCTCTCACAACCATTTACCCCTCTACATGTCTTGTCATCATCATAATGTATATGTATTGTTAAATAACAGTTGGCGACAGTTGAATTTACTGTTAGGTCATGTTTTTTGCATACAGTGCATGCATATTGTCCACCTGTGTATGGAGTGTTCTGGTCTTATGTTGCATCTCACGATAGTACCCATGTAGTGCAGTGTAGTACAGTACATTATTAAATGTCATGGCACTGTTGTGGCACCACTAAAGCTAACACCCTACAATTTCAGAGAGAACTCCAGTTGTTCCATCCCTTCAAAAAATAAATCCTATGCACTGAATGCCACAACTAAAGCGGGATTTTTTTAGATTTTTTTGTCCAAGAACGAGTAACTTGACTTAAACATGAGACTTTGGAAAAATCACACCAAGTTTGATGCTTGTTTCAGCAACTCTCTGATGGGTTGATCTATAGTTAAGGATGTAGGTGAATGTGACTCTGAATACATCTACAGTACAGTACTGTATATAGAAAATAAGGAAAAGTAAATAACAATAACAATTTCTAACCATATCCAGGGCAGATAAAGTTAAGTTGACTGTTAACGAGAAAAACAATACATATTAGGCTATTGAAAATATTTAATACCTTGTTATATGTGGCACCATAAGTTTTACGAGCAGCATGGGTAAATGTGCAAGTTGCAGGTTGCAGCCGAATGATGCAGGTGACATCGATTGTCTGATGAAAATATTCTTCTTCTCATCATTTCTGTTATTTTTCTATAATACATAGCTTGGGTTATTTTAAGAATTTGGGTATCTTAGGTTAGGTTAGGAGTTTGGTTATCATAGCCTAGGTTAGTTTGACTCATAGATTAAGTTAAGTGTTTGGTTAGTATAGGTTAGTTTGACTCATAGCTTAGGTCAGGAGGTTTATTATTATATATTAGGTTAAGTGCTTTGTTAGAATAGTTTATGTAAGGAGTTTGGTTAGGTTAGTCTAGAAGTTAGTTTGAATAGCCTAGGAGTTTGGTTAGCATAGGTTAAGTTAGGAATTTGGTAAGCAAAATTTAGGCTAGGAGTTTGGGTACCTTAATTTAGGCTAGGAGTTTGGGTACCTTAATTTAGGCTAGGAGCTTGGGTACCTTAATTTAGGCTAGGAGCTTGGGTACCTTAATTTAGGCTAGGAGCTTGGGTACCTTAATTTAGGCTAGGAGTTTGGGTAACCTTAATTTAGGCTAGGAGTTTGGGTAACCTTAATTTAGGCTAGGAGCTTGGGTACCTTAATTTAGGCTAGGAGCTTGGGTACCTTAATTTAGGCTAGGAGTTTGGGTACCTTAATTTAGGCTAGGAGTTTGGGTAACCTTAATTTAGGCTAGGAGTTTGGGTAACCTTAATTTAGGCTAGGAGTTTGGGTAACCTTAATTTAGGCTAGGAGTTTGGTTGGCATAGGTTAAGTTAGAAGTTTAGTTAATGTTGTTAAGGTATGAGGTTTGGTTAGAATAGTTTAGGTTACGAGTTTGATTCAATTAAATTAGGTTAAAAGTTTGTCAGTGTGGATAGGTTAGGTTAGGATTCTGGTTACGTTTAAATAGTGTATTGTCGGAGTTTGGTTAAAATAAGGAAGTGGGTTGGGATAGATTTGATCAGAACCTTGGTTACTTTTTATTCGGAGTTTGGTCTGGTGGGAGGGAGGGCTGGTGGGAGGGAGGTGTGGGAGGGCTGGTGGGAGGGGAAGGCTGGGTGGGGAGGAGGCTGGTGGGAGGAAGGCTGGTGGGAGGGAGGAGGGCTGAGTGGGAGGAAGGCTGGTGGGAGGGAGGGCTGGTGGGAGGGAGGGTGGGAGGGAAGGTGAGGTGGGAGGGAAGGGTGGTGGGAGGGAAGGCTGGTGGGAGGGAAGGCTGGTGGGAGGAAGGCTGGTGGGAGGGAGGCTGGTGGGAGGGAGGGCTGAGGTGGGAGGGAGGAGGAGGGCTGGTGGGAGGGAGGGCTGAGCTGGTGGGAGGGAGGGCTGGTGGGAGGGAGGGCTGGTGGGAGGGAGGGCTGGTGGGAGGTGGGAGGGAGGGCTGAGTGGAGGAGGGAAGGCTGGTGGGAGGAGGGCTGGTGAGGGAGGGCTGAGGTGGGAGAGGAGGCTGTGGTGGGAGGAGGGGCTGGTGGGAGGGAGGGCTGGTGGGAGGAGGCTGTGGTGGGAGGGGGCTGGTGGGAGGGAGGGCTGAGGTGGGAGGGAGGGGGGAGGTAAGGGAGGGAGGGCTGGTGAGGAGGGTGGGAGGGAGGGCTGGTGGGAGGGAGGGAGGCTGGTGGGAGGGAGGGCTGGTGGGGAGGCTGGTGGTGGGAGGGAGGGCTGTGTTGGGGAGGTAAGGCTGGTGGGAGGGAGGGCTGAGGTGGGAGGAGGGCTGGTGGGAGGGGGCTGGGGGGAGAGTAAAGGCTGGTGGGGAGGAGGGCTGGTGGGAGGGAGGGCTGGTGGAAGGGAGGGCTGGTGGAAGGAGGGCTGGTGGGAGGGAGGGCTGGTGGGAGGGAGGGCTGGTGGGAGGGAGTAAGGCTGGTGGTGGGAGGGGAGGGCTGGTGGGAGGCTGGTGGGAGGAGGGCTGGTGGGAGAGGAGGGCTGGTGCAGGAGGGAAGGCTGGTGGGAGAGGGGAGGGCTGGTGGGAGGAGGGCTGGTGGGAGGGAGGGGACCCCAGTGGAGAGGAGGGCCGGTGGGAGAGGAGGGCCGGTGGGTGGGAGTGGGGCCGGTGGGAGGGCCGGTGGGAGGAGGGTGGGAGAGGCTGGTGGGAGGGAGGGCTGGAGGGAGGGCCGGTGGGAGGAGGGGCTGGTGGGAGGAGGGCTGGTGGGAGGGAGGCTGGTGGGAGGGAGGCTGGTGGGAGGGAGGCTGGTGGGAGGGAGGCTGGTGGGATGGAAGGCTGAGGGTGGAAGGGAGGGCTGGTGGGAGGGAAGGCTGGTGGGAGGGAGAGGCTGGTGGGAGGGAGAGAAGGCTGGTGGGAGTGAGGGCTGAGGTGGGAGGGAGGGCTGGTGAGGAGGGAGGGAGGGGAGGGAAGGAGGGAGGGCTGGTGGGAGGGAGGGCTGGTGGGAGGGAAGGTGAGGGTGGGAGGGGAAGGTTGGTGGGGAGAGGAGGGCTGGTGGGAGGAAGGCTGGTGGGAGGTAATGCTGGCAAGGAGGGAAGGCTGAGGAGGTGGGAGGAGGGAAGTCTGGTGGGAGGAAGGCTGGTGGGAGGGAAGGCTGGTGCAGGAGGGAAGGTTGGTGAGGAAGTCTGGTGGGAGGAAGTCTGGTGGGAGTAAAAGCTGGTGGGAGGGAGGTGGGAGGGAAGGCTGGTGGGAGGGAGGGCTGGTGGGAGAAGGTGGGAGGAAAAGGCTGGTGGGAGGGAGGGGCTGGGGGGAAAGGAGTGGGAGGAGGGCTGGTGGGAGGGAGGGCTGGTGGGAGGGAGGGCTGAGTGGGAGGAAGGCTGGTGGGAGGGAGGAGGGCTGTGGGAGAGGGAGAGGTGGGAGGGAGGGCTGGTGGGAGGAGGGAAACTGAGGTGGGAGGGAGGAGCTGGTGGGAGAGGGAAGGGTTGGGAGGAGGGCTACAGGTGGGAGGGAGGGCTGGTGGGAGGGAGGGCTGGTGGGAAGGGAGGGAGGTGGGAAGGGGCTGTGGTGGGAGGGAGGGGAGGAGGGAGGTGTGGTGGGAGGGAGGAGATAATGCTGGTGGGAGGGAGGCTGTGAGGTGGGAGGAGGTGAGGGCTGGAGAAGGAGGGTGGGAGGGAAGGCTGGTGGGAGGTAAGGCTGGTGGAGGGAGGCTGGTGGGAGGCAAGGCTGGTGGGAGGGAAGGCTGGTGGGAGGGAAGGCTGGGTGGGAGGAAGGCTGGTGGGAGGGAGGAAGTCTGTACCAAGGCTGGTGGGGAGGGAGGGAGGTGGGAGGGCTGGTGGGAGGGAGGCTGGGGAGGGAAGGCTGGTGGGAGGGAAGAGGTGGTGGGAGGAAGGCTGGTGGGGAGGGAGGGCTGGTGGGAGGAAGGCTGGTGGGAGGGAGGGTTGGTGGGAAGGGAGGGCTGGGAGGGAGGGGCTGAGGTGGGAGGGGAGGCTGTGGTGGGAGGGAGGGCCAGTGGGGAGGAGGCCGGTGGGAGCTGGTGGGGGAAGGGGTGGGAGAGGAAGGCTGGTGGGAGAGGAAGGCTGGTGGGAGGGGAGGGAGGGAGGGAGGCTACAGTGGGAGGAGGCTGGTGGAGGAAGGCTGAGGTGCTGGGAGGGAAGGCTGTGGTGGGAGGGGAGGGCCGGTGGGAGGGAAGGCTGGGGAGGGAGGGCTGGTGGGAGGGGAGGCTGGGGAGGGAGGGAAGGCTGGTGGAGGGAAGGCTGGTGAGGGAAGGCTGGTAGGAGAGGAGGCCGGTGGGAGGGCTGGTGGGAAGGCTGGTGGAAGGAGGGCTGGTGGGGAGGAGGGCTGGTGGGAGAGGCTGGGGGGAAAGTGGGGAGAGGAAGGCTGGTGGGAGGAAGGCTGAGGTGGGAGGGAGGGCTGGTGGGGAGGGAGGCTGGTGGGAGGAAGAGGGAGGCTGGTGGGAGGGAGGGCTGAGGAGGGAGGCTGGTGGGAGGAGGCTGGTGAGAGGGAGGGCTGGTGGGAGCTGAGGCTGGGGGAGGGTGGGAGGCTGAGGGAGCCAGTGGGAGGGAAGGCTGGTGGGAGGGAGGGCTGGTGGGAGGGAAGGCTGTGGGAGGGGAGGGCGGAAGGCTAGTGAGAGGGTGAGGAGGGAGGGAGGAGGGCTGGTGGAGTGGGGGAGGCTGGTGGGGGAGGGGCTGGTGGGAGGGAGGGCTGGTGGGAGGAAGGCTGGGGAGGGAAGGCTGGTGGGAGGAGGAGGCTGGCTGGTGGGA